TGATGTTCATAATTTAGGACCGCACGTACATTCTACAACCTGAACCGCTGGGTCTGTGTCCGTATCGATGCGTTGGGCGGTCTGTTCGTATGTAAACCCTTTCCCGACTTTCCATTGGTCTGATTCGGCATAGGCTGCGTCCTTGGCTTATTACCTGGTTTACCATCAGGCATGTGGCTATCCGTTCATTGCTCTCATTTTGTGACGCGTTCGCGCTCAGACCTTTAACCCCAGCAACATCGGATTCACCCTCAACATGGCTATTGGATTCTCCGGGATGATTTTGTGGTGGGTGAGTAACTTCAGTACCTCTATTCGGCGAGACATTATGCTAATCTTAACAGGTCCGAGTCTTGAACGACTTCGAGATCCAAGGCAACTCTTTGGAGCGGATCCGGGGATATATCGATATCGAGCAGGAGCCCAAGCCTACGCCTGCTGGAGTTCCCCCGGCGTACTGGCCCGCCAGCGGCAAGCTTTCCGTCCAGAAATTGAGTGCGCGTTACTCGGCGGACGGCCCCAAGGTACTGCAGGACATTTCATTTGAGATCAAGTCGGGTGAACGCGTCGGGATTGGTGAGTGGGCGAAATATCTTCAGGGATAGTACGCTTATGACATCCTGCAGTCGGGCGGACCGGCTCCGGAAAGGTAACTAGGGCCTGTTATGTGCGCAAACCATGCTCATTCCCCTTTCCAGAGTAGCTTGACGTTGGCCTTGCTTCGGACGATCTTCACCGAGGGCAACGTGTTGTACGACGGCATTCCCATCAGCTCGCTCAACCTGGACGCGCTGCGCTCTAATATCACCATCATCCCGCAGATTGTGAGAATTGCACTACTTTTGTACCCGCTACTCATATTCATTTTCCCAGCCCGAGCTTCTCACCGGTAGTCTGCGAAAGAATCTCGATGTCTTTGAGCAGTATGACGATGCGACGCTGAACAATGCCCTCCGCGCCGCGGGCTTGTTTGCGCTTCAAAGCGAGATGGACGAGGGGAGGATCACCCTGGACTCGGAGATTGCCAGTGGCGGAGGGAATCTCTCCGTCGGCCAACGGCAAATCTTGGCGTTGGGTGAATATTGCTTGCTCCGCTTGAACGTGAACGTCCATCTGACGCATCGCAGCCCGCGCCATTGTTCGAGGTAGCAAGCTGCTGATTCTCGACGAAGCAACCTCCTGCCATCGGTAATCCATCTTCTAGCGAATCGGAAAGCCGCTGACTCGCCCCTAGATTACAAAACGGACACGATCATTCAATCCTCTCTCCGCAACGAGCTACCAAAGGACACAACGCTCCTTCACGGTCGCTCACAGACTGCAAACTATCATGGACTGCTGACAAGATTGTGAGTGTCGGTCTTTGTGTTCCTCACTCTGTGCTCATGATTCCGTAGATGGTTCTTGATGCCGGTCGAATCGTGAGCACCCTCTCATATCTGACTGACTAGACATCAGCTTATTCTTTTTCCAGGTCGAGTTCGACACTCCCAAGACACTTCTGCAGAACAAAAATGGGAAGCTACGTGCTCTCGTCGACGAATCTGGTGACTAAGGACGCGTTGTATAAGATGGCGAGCGGGGCATAAGGCTAACTACATCGAGTTGTTATATATTTACATCCTACTTTATAGCGGTTTGGAATAGATTGCATCGAAAGACAGGGCAGCAAGTTGGACACGAGTCCTTAGAAAGCCAAGCAAGATGATCAAGACCGGCGGTAGTTTTCACCGCCATTGCGGGCAGGCGCAGTAGCATACTCCCTAGACCGAGAAGGCGCTCCAGAGTAGCCATTGTTAGAGTAACCTCCGCCGCCAGAAGCGTATCCTGGTTCGAAGCCGGCTGAAGATCTAGCAGGGGGACTTTCCGAGCGTCGCCTGCGCAAATTTACCAGCAATCCAGCAAGGCAGTTATTGCACGTACCTGTAACGGTTTGCGCCAGCCTCGGGTGGACCACGAGCATAGTCGTAACGAGAAGGAGGGGGAGAAACAGGACGTCCCCGATAGTCACCATAGTCCCTGAGGATATGTTAAAACGGACTTGACGGGCGCACATTGATTGTATCGTACCGAGGAGGAGCCCTTTCAAAATCGTCGCGTCCACCTCTTCTGTCATAGCGGTCGTATTGAGTCGGAGGCGGCGGGGGAGCACCATAGCGAGGGTCGGAGGCAGGAGGATAGCGACCAGCTCGATAATAGTCTGGAGGCGGCGGTGCCCCATAGCGATCGCGGTCAGACCCTCGGCGGTAATCTTCGATTTCTCGGCCTCTGGCCGGTGGCAGATAGTCACGAGGAGGAGAAGGAGCCCGACGGTGGTCGCGAGAGTCCCGAGGAGCATAGTCGTATTTTGAATCGCGGATTGAGTCGCGAGCACCACCGTAGTCGCGACGATCGCGGTCCGTAGAATCGCGACGCATCCTAAATTGGGATGAGTATTTCACAAGACTGAAGAGCGGAAGGCGCACGGTGCTGTAGAGTTGGGGCATTCACTGTGGATGCGCGTTATTCGGTGACGGAGACAGGCTGAAAGAATGCGAGATACCGCGCCCAATGACCCATATGCCCGCACTTGAAACACGCTCCTGGGTCGCCTGCATACTTGGCCGTCCGCCCGCCTCCATGAGAAAGCTCCACACGTATTTTATTGCCCATGAAATGGCCTTCATGATACTTGGCGACACTTTCTTCCGCGGCCAAGCGGCTATCGAATTCCTACGACAGCATTGGAAGACGGATGGTAGACGAAGGGGTGCATACCACAAAGCCATATCCAACTCTGGGAGCAAGTTAAGATGCCAGACGAGAAAATAATGGGGACGACCTACTTGAGTTCAATGTTGATGATGTGTCCTATCTGACCAAAGCAGTTTTGAAGGTCTTCCATGCGCGTATGTTCGGGAAGTCCGCCAACGTAGACTTTGTTCGGCTGCACGGAAGGTAAACAACCCAGATGTAACGAGAGAGGTGGCCCAAGCGAAAGCGAAGTCCAGCAGGAGAAACAACAGGCAATGGCGTCGGAGACAGCACGAGCCGTACAAGCAGACAATGCACAGAAAAGACCGAATAAGCACCTTGACTTGCTTTTCCCGGTAACTTTCGCCTTTGACAGAGACGGGGCCGACGCTAGAGCCACGCGGAAAGTCTGGGTCGTGTCCGTCCTGCCCACGATCGTCTCCAGGAAGAGCGTCTCCATTGCCAGGCTCAGCACTGCGCCCACGGCCCATCCCAGAGTCCTCAGAAGGGCCCCAGTTGTCTGGGCCCTCGCCGCCGCCGCTGGGAGAAGCTGCCATGTTTTGAGCTTTGGTTGGATGTTGTGAAAAATGAGCGTGACGGGGTCACACAATGCCATCAACTCATTGGATCAATTTGTGCACTGTGCACGGACCTCGACGGACTCGTATCCATCTGGGTGCTGCTCTCATAGCGCTCATGGGCGAATGACAATATTTTCAAAGTTATTCTCCTACTACCCTTGCTTGGCGTTCCCCGCGTCCTCGAACCTGTCTCATTCCACTTCGGACTCGACCTTAACCTCCTCATCCTCGTCCTTCTTGACTCGCTTCCTGGGCGATCTTGACGATTTTTTGGGTGCACGACGCTTCTTGGATTTGGATGTCTTGGGCGTGGGAATTGGCTGCAGCGTACTCCAGCTTCTCAAACCAATCGACTGGGAACCGGACACATTTGAGGATCGTGAAGGGCATGACAAGCCGGCCATCCAGGAAAGCCGCGCGCACGCTTTCTTCAGTCTGCTCCACCTTCAAGTCGTCATCCACCACGTACTTGTTGGCTTCGGCTATCGACTCCTTCCCCCATTGAGCATTCTCGACCATTCCCTTGACCCACGTATCCAGGACCTTCGGGGGAAGCAGCGGCACATGACGATGGGCGATTTCGCCGTAGCGCAGATAGTCATAAGTACCGAGCAGTCGCCAGTCGTTTCTTGAAAAAAATGTTTCTAAATCGAAACTCGAGGTTATTGCTTTGCGACTCACGGACCTTCCCCAACAAATATGTTTATGGGTTCTGGTGTTATCCGGCATCCGTTCAGACCGAAGAAGCCCATGCCATGTTCACCAGGCAATATCGGAAGCGCATGGTTCCAGGAGCGTTGAACTGTCAGACTCGGGTGTATGTGAACTTGAATCCGAGTTCGACGCTAATCACGATACGCACAATGGAGTTTTCGTCGCCTTTTCACTGAAATGGTGTTCAATGACTTGATGATTGCCCCCGAATGCCTAAGAAGAACAATAATTAGTAAGGAAAATACAGAGAGAAAAAACTGACGTCGGAGATAACTTTGCGTGTCCAGCCTTTGCCTCTGTACTTGGCATCCACTTGGACTGGTGGACCCAGATTGAAAGCGTTCACGTTCCAGAGGTCGTAGCCGCCACTCTCGGACTTGATGAGAGAGACATACGTGAAGTAGTCGGCTTCGCCCTCCTGTTTGATAACAACATCTAGCTGCTCTTCTTTCACCACGATGGGCGGAGAGCTTTCCGGGCTGAGACGTGAGGATACATCACGAATAGGTGTTTGTTGCTGAGGTGGTGCACTTTGGCTTTCACGATTCGACGACGGGGTTTGTGCCGATCGCTCTCGTGGAGGAGAAGCAAGCGGTACCTACGTGGGGAATCGGTGATTGAGAAATAGCGTTGGAGTGCTTTTGTACAGTATCTCCGAGTCGTTCATCTTCTACGAGTTGACCATGTGCGGGTCCTTTCAGTTCCTGGAAGAGACGCACATCCTTTCGGTGCTAGTGGTCAGACCTCGACAGCGTTGAAAAGAGTATATCACCTCCTCCTTTTGGATGACTCGGATTTCCTTCTCATTGAACGTCCTTAGCGGCGCGAGGAACGGATGCTTGGCTAGCGTACCAAAGATGCAGAATTTTTCATCGGTGGTTGAAAGGAAGTCACACTCTATCACAGTTCAAGTTCGTGTCGATGACCATTACTCGTTTCCCGTCAAGGCCTATAACAAGCCGACCTCTGTCATCCCGCCTAGCTCAATCGGATAGAGCGTCAGACTCTTAACATAGTCCGTTGGGCGTAATTTGGAATCTGAAGGCTGCGAGTTCGACCCTCGCGGTGGGCTACTGTTACTTTTTGCTTGATTCTTTCAGAATCCTCCACTTTTTGTTTGGCATCTGCCCAGCTCAACGTAGTTCTCATTGCAGCAGGCGTCAGTTCGAGTTCTCGGAAGAGGCAGTCCTGTAGGATTAGATTCAGGTCCCGCATGGGCGACGGGCACCGTAGAAACGCAGACGAGTATTGGCATGGATGGAGTGAAGATGCATGCTCGACGTTTGAATCGCGCGAATGGTTTTTATTCTTTCTATTCATCTGGGACCCTCTGTCTAGTGCCCGCTTCCCTTCTCCGCAGCAATCTGGGCGGCATATGGGTTCTTCGGGTCGGTCGCGTATGCAGGCGCTATGGTGAAGATGAGTCCACGGTCGTTGAGACGCCACAGCAACGCACATCGCACAGCCATATCCTGCAGCTTGGAGATTCCGAATAGCGAGACAGAAGCGGCAACCATAAACGGCCAGTAGGGTCTAAGAATCTACAGGAAGATGACGCGGTGAGCGGGTACGACGGAAAAGCCACTTGCTGGTGTCGGCCATTTGCGCCAGCCAAGGAAAGCCATTTTGGTATCGGTCTACTCGAGAATGAGGTGGCGGGATGGGAGCGGGCGGTAAGCCTTACGTTCGCGGTGGATGTTCGGGTTAGGCCACGGTGATTGCATCAAACTGTGCCAAACACCATTACATGTACTTGTGCAAACTACACTCCTCCATACCCAGTCGTTCTAAACATAATAGGATGCTTGTCTCTTTTTCGAGAGAGAGTGTATCAACTAATCTTCCATGCCCAGCAAGGTCCGATAGGCTCGGTACGAGAATGGTCCGCGCCTGTCCAGAGCCCGATTATTCCGATTGCAGAGCCAATGTCTCCCACCTGGACGCTTTCGGTGACCCATTCGGCGGTTGTCGCATCGCCCGACGTCTGCGTGTGTTCAGTATATTTGGGAAGCGAAACAGTATCTCTCACCATGCTCCAACGAACCGCACCGTCGCCAACCATACGGACGGTTCCCGCGATTACGCGTCGCAAATCAGCATCCGAGTCGGTTCCCCGGGACTCTCCTCCAATGCGGATAATGGGCAAACGCCAGATAAGGTCCTGAGGGTTTGTACCATGAGGAGGTTTAGGCGGGGGGTCGTATCCGACAATGCGAAGCGTCATCGGGAAGATGCGAGTTGTCTCTGCAACATCGCTCTGCCCAAAGGTGACGGCAGGAATATCAACATTGTGAACTTGAAAGAGTCAGGCCACTCTGCATGACCGAGATGACAAAAACATACCCAAGAGGTCTCGATAGTCGAGCCAGGATACCACTCGTCTGGAGAATTATTCAGTAATGGTCGAAAACAACCAACAAATGCGAGCATACCTCCATTCACCTTCAACACCGGCCCAGTCCCAACCCTCGCATTCTTTCTCCTTTCCCTTTTCCTTGTCTGCAGTGCTGGAAACAGAAGCCTCTTCATCTTCTTGGGGAATTTGTGGACGCCATGCATGCCAGAAACCTGGCGCACCCCCCATGCGAACGAGGTCGAGAGACTTCATCGCCTCTACTATATCCCTCAGCTCACAGTTGACATCAGCGGCTGCTATATGCGCGGGGGATAATCCAGATGTGGGCAGGCTGAGGTCATTCACCTGGAATATGTCGCGCATATTAGACTCGATAACGATTCTAGCCGCGGCAAGGAACGCATAGTCGGGTATGACGTGATGCGGTGCGGGGAACACATAGGTTGGGTGCCTTGTCTCGTCAGCAAAGTTAATCCCATGGTGGGCAAGAAACTGCAAGAGAAGTCCTTGTGTGCCGTCGTTGTCGTCGTCGTCAGAGTCATCTCCATGGTCAGAATTAGCGTCTGGCCCATAATCAGGGTCGTCATCAGATTCGTAATAGACCTCAGGCGATGGAACGATGGAAGAAGAATGGATGCAGTGCGACCCAGTTGCTTCCTCTTCGTCCGAGTCGGGGCGGATAGCGCGATGGAGGCGCGTTCGCCATGCGTAAGCCTCAGGGCAAGGATGCAAGGGCTGAAATGGGCCCCACATCCGCTCCCGCATCAGATATCGAGTGTTGTATACTCGAGTACGCGCAGACGCGCGCGAAACTGCATGTTGCTCCCGCACGGAAGCCGCAATATCGCCGGTGTCGGGGATAAAGCCCCGGAGAAAGGTGAGTTTGTTGAAGGCTCTGCCCTGCGGACTATCTTCAAACTCGGGTCGAAGGCCTGGCTCGCCGCTGGGATCCAATGGCCTCAAATTTGAAAGGCGGTTGGTTAGCTGTGATGGATAGCCGCGAGAGGACAACATTTCGTGAAGCCAGCTTGTATTCTTGGACTCCATGTGGTCTTTTCGACGGAGTAGCGGAGGAAACACAATTGAACGTTCGCAGTGGACGGCCTCTAGAGGTTGTTCATGGGGGACTACGGCAGCAGTTTGGATGACGTCGATGAGAGTGAGAAAGTCGCATTCCGGATTGTCTGCGACGAGGGCATTGGCGGCACGAATACGGGCGGTGAAGCCCGTCCAGTCGTATCCGGACTGTGCGGGACCAGGTTGCGCTGGAGTAGCAGCCTTTATGGAGATGTTGGAGCGAGGATCGTCGAAGACGCTGAGGAAGATGGCTCTCCAGTTCGAGTGAACCAATTGGTGAAAGCGACGGTTGCAGGCTGCCAAGGAAGCGATAGTGTTTGGATCGACCTGGCATATAATCTGCTCAAGGATCTCGTTGGGAAGCCCAACCAAACCCATCCGAGCCATGGTGGTCGTTTAGTAAGATTGCGAACGGAAGACAAGTTACGGTCACAGCCTGAACTTGAATGTAGACTCGGCCACGATGTCCAACCTACCTCCCGCAGCCCCCGCAGTGAGCACACTGAACTCCTCAAAGCCTTGTTTGACGCGCGCGATGGCATAGTGGCGCAATTTTCCCTTCTTCGACGTGGTCCCCGTCAAGGACGCTCATGACTTGAATGCTTCGCCCGAAATATTCAAGACGACCACGGAAATATCAACCATACTCACATCCTCTGCTGGCGTTCTAGTCGCTGATATTTATGGCACTCTACACATTCTCAACAAGGATTTCGAATCACAACGGACGTGGATTGCCTACGAGGGTGGCCGGGTGACCCACATGGCCGAGCGACGCGGTATTCTTGTGACTGTCGGTGTATGTCGCATTGGTTGTTCATTCTTAGCAGTGTCTCATCCTTTCTTTCCAGGAAGACGAATCCGTGCGCGCGCCAGTCTTGAAAATATGGGATCTTCAAAAGAAGGCTGCAACACCGCCGTTATTGCGCTCAACCAAAGTACAGCTCACGAAACCACATCCTGTTTGCACAATTGCCCTCTCCGGTACCTTGTCCCACCTGGCGGTTGGCTTTGCAGACGGAACTGTTCTCCTTTACCGCCACATCGACCAGTCCATTAATAACAATACCGCCCTACTCAAGCCGAAAACCGTCCACGAGTCTCCGACAGGAGCCTATAACAGGACTTGGCTTCTCCGAGTCAAAGTTCCTGTTTGTCGTCACGACGAATCGCGTCCTTTCCTATCAGGTATCTGGTGCGGGCAGTGGGAGCAAGGCTACGGTTGTCGATGATGTTGGCTGTGCGCTCGGTTGTGCTACAATGGACTGGCGAGAACGCGACGTAGTGGTCGCACGAGAAGAAGCAATCTATGTATGCAGCGTCGAAAGTCGCGGCGCATGTTACGCGTACGAGGGTAAGCAGAAGAAAAGTATCGCTATTCCCCTCAATATTTACAGGCCACAAATCCTTTGTGCGGTCACATCTCAACTATCTCGTCATCGTTTCGCCTCCCATAACGCCGACAACGACCGCACCGTACCGCACCGTTCGCAACTTTGCCGCTCGGAACGGGACAGACACCGACATTACCAGAGTCTCCGTCTTCGATCCTGAGAACAAGATTGTTGGCTACAGCGGGACATTTACACAAGGTGTGAGCGACGTTATATCTATCCCAGAATGGGGAGGTGTGTATATTTTGGGCAACGATGGAAGTGTAAGCGTCGATCTCCTTTGCGATTCCCCGACTGAACCCAACCCGCAAGCTTGTTCAACTATTGGAAAAACCCTTTTCGGCAAAGCTTGACATGTTGTATCGCAGCTCCATGTTCCCAGGTCGCTTTGAATCTTGCCAAGACACAAGGGCTCGAAGACTCGAGCGAAACCGTCGCCGACATTCACAAACAATACGGTGATCACCTCTATAACAAGGGCAACTGGGATGCCGCCATGGCCCAATTCGTGAAGACAATAGGCTGCATTGCCCCCAGCTATGTTATCCGCAAGGTTGATTCTCTGCAGATACACGAACCAGCTCTCATAGTCGAGTTTTCTACAGTTCCTGGACGCCCAGCGGATTCATAACCTTGTGACATATTTGCAGGAGCTGCACTCGTTGGGTCGCGCCAACTCGGATCATACAACTCTTCTTCTCAACGCCTACACCAAGCTAAAAGACGTTTCGCGTCTGGATGGTTTCATTAAAACCGAATCCCGGCGTGTGACATCCGCAAACGGAGAGAAGACTGAGCTACCCTTTGATCTCGACACCTGCCATTCGAGTTTGTCGCCAAGCAGGTTATTTCTCGCATGCCTCCTACCTCGCCAAGAAGTACGAGCGTCACGAGGAATACCTGCGTATCCAAATTGAAGATGCGCGAAACTATTCGGAAGCCCTCGTCTACCTCCGCGCCCTGGGTGGAGAGGCTGCGGAAAGCAATCTTGCACGGTATGGCCGTGCCATGCTAGAAAGCTTGCCCCAAGAGACCACGCAACTCTTAATCGACCTCTGCACCTCAAACGGGCCTCTATTGGAGCCGGAAGAAGAAATGCCCAACACGGCTGCGTCCACGAAAGCGTTATTCTCCGCTGGAGCGACTGCGCCCTCATACCTTTCGTATCTGGCTTTGAACCGTAATTCGGTGTCCATCGATCCTCCCCCTTCGCCGTCCATCAAGACCGTAAAGCCTGGCGATACC